GTAAAAGTCCTTGTGCATATTGACCTGATTCTTACGAACCCTCCAGCGGTCAATTTCGTTCTTACAACGAGCACGAAGCCATTCATAGCTACAAACATCAGGGTTGGATATGTTCCTATCCCATTCCCTGATATCATGAGCCAAACAGTTGAGGTGTCTAACCTTCTCACTGAATAGCGACCGCTTTACCTGCTCGGTCAGCGGTTCATCGAGACCCGCAAGGATGTGATCCCACTTCGCGATGAACCTTTCAAGTCGCTCCTCTTCAGTATAGAAAGATGAAACACTGCATCGCAAGTTTGAGAGCTCAATTATCCTGAATGATTGCTCTCCGATATTTGCAGTCCTTAAGTGGTCGTATAAGAGCCACAGGATCTGCCTACTCTTGATGCGATTGTTGGAACGTTGAGCGGCTTCGGTGAGACGATTAATCTTATCGATAATTGCAACAGTCTTGATGCACTTCCGAATGGCTGCATTGAACCTGGCTTCAAGGATGTGGTATTTACATTCCCCATCCAGTTCATCAAAGGTCTTTGCCTTCTCGACTTCAGTTAGCCAATTGATGACGTAAAGTCCATCATAGCTGTAGGCATTGCTAACAGCTTCCTTCATATTGGCTATCCATACCCTCAGCCCAGCCGCGTCGGGCTCTGGCGGGAGGTCTATGGGAATGCACTTAGTCGCAGCTGTACAGTTCGGATCATGGTGGCTACTGTACCCGCCGCCACCAGTTCCGAAAAGATGCTGTGGAACCTGAGAACTACCGATTGATAATGCACATACAGGACAAAGGCGAGTAGCCTTCGGAATGCAAATCTCACATGCCCTTTTCATGCATATCTTACATTCCTCAATTTTGCTGGGGTCAGGAATATCCCGATCACACATCCGACATTTCTTGTCAGGAGGATCGGGGCCACGCATGGTCGGCGGCTCAAGGCCTGAAGGATCCTTCGGCCTTGTACCGTTGGGATCAAATCCTGGATAATATCCAGCTTCACGTTTATCCAGGGGCACGGATTGCGTAGCCTTCGGAGGACTCTGAAGGTTAGCCGCGTTGGGTTGACCCCCAGTTGGGGTGTCACGGAATCTGTCAACGGGTGGCCGCAGAGGCGGCGAGAACGACCGCGTCGGGTTCGTCTCAGGTACGCCTCCAGGCGATCTATTCCTGACACGGTTACCATCGGGATCCCTTCTTCTCCTAGTCTCGTCCCTAAGGCACGCAAGACAACAGGGACCCTGGACAAATCCAAATCTCCTGTAGTCATCCTGCCCAGCAGAATGTCTGGTGCAGTAGTAGGTCTTACAAAACTGACACTCAATTCCCTTAGTCAGGAACGAGCTCTCCCTACAGACACCGCATCGGGGTCCGTTACGGGAACATTCTTCACACAGGTTCTCTTTAAATGAGAAACAATACTCACAAATATCACCTCTGCATCCCTTGCAGTGAAACTCAGCCATGAGATGATTATATCCATCACCTTCATATTTACATCTGGGTTTACCAGGGTTGCCAGGGTTCCCACCGGCGGCGCTCTTCTTCCCCCCTCCTCCTGGGCTTTGCCAATCTGGAGGAGGAGGTGGTGGAGGATCATCATCAGGAGGGCCAGGTGGAGGTGGCCGCTTGTCCGGAGTACGGGACGCGGCACGCCTTCCTCCTGTGTGATCGTTCAATCCGCTACTTGAGGCCTGGTTCGAGTGCCTTGACTCGAGAGAGTTAATTCTCTGGGCCGTATTACCCAGCACCTCGAGCATTTGCTCGAGCTTACTGTTGAGCGTAGTCGAAACGGCCATGTTATGAGTATTTTGCTTGTCCGTGTAGGATTTGCAGTCCCTTGACTTTATCTCAAGGTTGGCTTGTGTCTCATAAAGTTGGTCTTTAACCCACTTTATGCCGTCCCTATTATTGGTCCAGCGTTGTTCGACATCTTGCATCATCCTATCAATCTGACATACCCTAGTGAACAGGTCCTCGATTTTGAGGTTTACTCCACCAATCGCAGGATGGTTGGATTGGCTCTCCACTAGAGATCTCTCGATCACATCAATGCGAGCTATAAGCCCGGTTACTCGATCAGAAAGAGATTCAAAAACAGTTTGAACCTGGGTGATGGAGCGAGCAACATCATCATAGCTGGCTCGCTCATTTAGGGCATCGCCTATGCTTATCATGCGATTGGAAACGATCTTGACGCGTTGGCCAAGCTCGGTCACGATGTCCTTAGTCCCTTGTGACAGCTGCATGGCCGCGTTTGCAGCCTGCGTACACGTGCTACTCACATGGACACATTGGTCGTATTTGGCCCTCCACGAGTTAACCTCAGTGGAGAGCTGCTTGATGCATTGATCACTTCTATCATTCCTACGACCAAGGTCTTCGACCTTAACAACCAGGCGATGAATGATCGCGCTTACCGAAGAATCCACTCTCCCTCTTTCAAGGGCTGTTACAAGATCAGCAACCTCGTTGGGTTGCTCCTCACTCGCAGGACCAAATCCTGATCCGCGATCTCGAGGAGTGGACAAATCAACCATGATTGGATTAGATCTCGGAGGAGTTCTGAAATCATCCTGGACGGCCGTTGATGGCCGTGGGAACTCACTCCGATTAGGAGATTGACTCTGATACGGAGCAGATCTCCTAGCATCACGAACCGCAGAGGGTTGTGTCATGCCCAGGCCTTTGGCAACGGATAGTTTAGGAACAACAGGCCTATCCGTTCGCATAGGAACATCAGGTCTCGAGTCAGCAATAATAATGTCATTCAAGTCGGTCGCATTGGACACTCTAGACTCAGACATCGATTCAATATCAGTCGCATTACTTATGGTATGATTGCGACTAGAACTTGATGCCATCATGGACTCAGATTCTATCGGAACATTAGCTCCGTCCATATTGTCCAGAGTGAAAATGGAAGCCGCGTTGGGCGTAGGGCGAACATCTTGTGCGTTCAAGCCACTTGGCCTATTAAATTCCTCCTGAAATGCTTTGATCCCATCAAGCACGTTAACGAGTGTGTCCGCGTTTAACGGGTCCCTACCAATGATTGACGCTGGATCACCTGATCGACCGCGTCCTGAGTCCCGCGCACTGGGGTTACCTCTGTGGGCAGTTTCCCGATGAATCCCCCTTGCCCTATGCGATCCAGTCGAATTTGACCTTGATCGTTTGCTTGGAGTTGGACTAGGATGCAAATCCAATCTATCTACGACATTACGCTCCCTAGGGCTCTCAAACCCTGAAAGTCCTGGGGGAGGGGACATATTCCTCATGGTCAGGTTTACCGACGGTCTTGGCCTGACGTTACGGCTGGCCACGTCAGGATTGAGATTCTCAATCGACAAAGGTAGCATGAATTCATCGCTTCCAGCAGCCCGTTTTGGGCTTTGGAATTGCGGGAAAGATGACGGGGCGGGTGGCCCTGGCATCCATGCGGCAAAATCCATACCAAAAATGTTTCCGTCGTTGGGCCATGAGGCTCTCCAATCGAGCCCACCGGATTCGGTCGGCAGATGAACATCAAATGCAACTCCACTGGATGTACCAGGTTCGGGATTACCGAGCACTTGAAAAACTATACTGCTGGTTGGCACAGGTCTACTGCTACTTCGGGAGTCACGAAACTCGGACTGACCAATATTCATCAGCTCCGGGAAAGATGAGGATTGAGCTCCAGGTGCAATACCGGGCTCGTCATCATCACGTCCTGAGACGGAATCATCATGGTCAGGACGATTAGCCCCATGACCCTGAGAGCGATTAGCTCTTGAGGCATTAGACGATAGGTCATCAGTGCGAGTAGCACTGGACCTTCCTGAAGGCATTGCTTCTGAAAAAGAGTGGTCCGACAAAAAGTCAGGACCGGAAAACATCGGCTGTCCGGGCACTTGGTCGTCATTCACAACGTCCAAGATTCCGGCCTGGCCGAGAACCCACTCATCGGTCACCACATGAGGTCCATCCTCGGTGATTCCCGCCATGAGTCCTACAGTAGCCTATGGAAAACGGCGCCTGCAGGGTTGTTATTAAATGGGGTTCGCGGTGCCAACCGAGGACGAATCCTACGGCTGATAACCTGCGAAAGGGTTTGAAACAGTATTTCGGGAGAGAATAAACAGGCCCAATCCCACCAACAAGAAGAGATTGTTTAAGTCCCCCAGTCCCAAGGGCAAAGCGGTGCCCCCGGCTGGCACAACAAACGAACCAAAACAGGGTGCCTTTAACCAAATGATGAATGAACCCAGCAAGGGCAGAGACAACCGAAAGCAAGCACGAAGCAGCAAACCAAGCAGGCAAACAATGCAGCGAAGCGAAGCGAGCAAGCAAAGCAAACCACTCCAACCAAACACCCGACCCACCTCCGGAGACACGACCGCCACCCCGGCAGCGACGGCTGCGGCACAGCGCAGCCGGCGCGTAGAGCGACGCGATCGTTTTCCGACGAAATGGCGAGAATCAGTCGACGAGTGTAAAAGCTTGAGCCAAATGTCGCGTTGGACATTGGCGGGAAATAACATACGCTATGATAAAAGTACATGCCCCCAAAAACAGTTTTGATCCACAGCCATGGCACGCCCAGGTTTCAGACTTTACACCAAGAAAGATGTTGAAGGCCACCCACCCCAAAAAACAAAAGCACGGCATGCAGCACACCGCTCGACGGCTGCCAAGCCAAACCAGTGTTTCAGACTCGGTTTTGTTGTTCTCCAATTTGGAGAGCACACCCACTCTTAAAATTGGGAGACTTCCATGTCGTGAACAAGGCCGATGTTCAAGACTCAGAATCCATAGACGCATGTCGCCTGGCACAGGCCTCTCAGCCAACCGCATCCTTTCACTCGGAACCAAACCACTCTCAGACAACAAGTTGATCAGCTTCAGCTATGAGTAGGGAACCCCCGATTTGCGTCCGTTCTCCACGTCACTGCTAGAACGAATGGAGGGCTGGGCTCTTAGGCAGAAAACTAGGCCCCCTTTCAAAGAATTGGGCCGTCTTCTCAAACCCAATGCGGCGCGTGCCCTCTCTCGTTTCCCCGTCCAGGAACGTGAGGATGGCCTCCAGGCCACCTGCTTTCAGCACTTGCACAGGCTGATCCTGGCGAACGGGCACCAGCTGAACCATTTGCTCCGGAGTCTCCTTGTAATCAGCTCTCTTGCGAGTTGAGTGACATCTCACAAACAGAATCTCTATATGGGGATGGGTCAAAATTAAAGCCCCAGGGGACCGCAGCTTTTAGGTCCTTGGTTCCATTTACTAGGGTTCCAAAACGGACACCCGTTCTTGACCCACGGCCATATGGTGGACCCCCCTCTTTGAACAAGAACCCCCACGAGCGGCTCGAGCGGCGGGAAGGAGCCTCCGAGATGAGCTCGATGGTGGAGACCGTGAGCTCTGCCACGTCGATGTACTCGATATTCAGCAGATTGGCGCCTGCGCCAAAACAAGCAGCAGGATGTGAAGACCCCCAAATCAAGGAGTGGGTACTGGTAGCCAGGGACAAACGGCCTCCAAAACAAGAGCGCCAAAGCCGATTTCGGGGGTCGTTTGTGTGCATTCATGGGCTTCTCCCTTCAGAACATAGTCTCGCAAAGTCAGCTGCAGCATCTTTCTAGCGCATTCCGGGCTTCACTGCACTGGAAAGCTTCCCTGCCGTTCCAGGCACTGCTCAAAAGCCCTAACATGGTGATTTGGTGTCAGTTCTTATTCGTCTCAAGTTCAACCGATCATCACGAAACCTACCTTGACCTAAGGAATCCGTTTCCCCGCCACTCATTTCCCCCCAAAAAAATCATAAAAGAAAGACAAGACCCTCCACTGTAACCTGGAAAATCCTCAAAATACGGGGGGATATCTGCAATATCTGTGCTCCACTGGGATCACCTCTGATGCGCATATATCCCTCCGCTCGCAAGGGAAATCCTGGGCCCGAGGCAAAGCACAGAGAGCCCCCCGTGCGCCACAATGATGCGCGCCGTCGGGGGCCTGAGACGCGAGTTGGATGGACGTCTGACGGACCCGTCTGGGGGGTCACTTGAGATGGGGGCTCAAACAAACCGCCATTCAAATGAAAGAGAGCCAACACTTCATGGGCCTTGGCCCAAGTTCCAATTCCAAAAACGACGGAGATATCCTGCCCAAGTGGATGCCTTGTCTATGCGTGTGTTTCCAGCCAGTGAGGCCCCGAAATGTTCCCATGGTGGCATCCCAAATGGCTCTGCGCAGCCTGAACCCCAATAGCACCAGTCCTTCAGCCCAACTGCACCCAGCCTTTGTCAAAGGTGAAAGGACCTCCGATCTCCCACGCCATTGGACACACTGAACGGGAATCTGTCAGGCAAACACAGCGTGCTCACATCAGCCACTCGGACTCTATGCATATCTCGCTTCGGGGCCAGCGGAACCCACCTGCCCCCCACACCCAGTTTGGCTGATTTCGGGTGGCTGGATTCTCAGGGTCCCCTTTCCCCCCCCAAATCACTATCTGGAGTGAATTCGACGCTCGAAAGCAAACCCACAGGACTGGAAGGGACACCAAAGGTACAGCAAAAGAATGCCGAGAGCAAGGCAGAATGTCCACCACATTGTAGAGGCATCTGCAGGCGAGCAACATAACCTCAGTTGGCAGCCTTTGCCGCCATGAAGTTGCCATTTCCCCGACACAGCGCTGTGGCCACAAGGATTGCGCAACACTCATTTGGTCAGCTGGGCTGGAGTCGACCCTGAAACGTCCCATCGCCTGTTTCACTCTTCGTTCCTCTTGAGAAGTAGAGAAACGTAGCTAAACCAGCCGCTGGAGGGTGGTCTCTCATTTTTTAGACCCGCCACTCCCCTTGTGGGTATCTGGGCTCGGCCCGCGACCTGTCCGGTGGTCTCGTCGCTGCCAGGGTTGCCCAAAAGGTTCACCTCAGTCAGGGGTTCACCAGCCAAACTCCCGTGAACGACTTGGCTCCACTGTTGTGAAATGCTGTAGGAACGGAGAATGAGAACACAGTCCATTGCAGTTGGGGAAGGTATGACATGAGTGCCGCGAGCCGCTCAAGCGCTTGGATTCTACGGCGTAGCCACCTCCTCCGCTTTTCTTGGAAAAGTGTTCCCAAAATGACGGCGGCCAAACACAAGAGGATGGTCCATATTTCGTCCACCCTAAAAGTACAAAATGGCCATGGGTCCAGAATCCGAATCGGACCCCCAGTGAACATCCCAAGCCCCACTAAAACTGGTTCGAAAATGGGTGGTGACTTCACCTACCAAAATGGGATCCCAAAAACGGTTTTGTTGGCCACCACGGCCGAATCAGCTCGAAAAAACCGCATCCGAGGTCTTGGCCAGGAGCGGGATGAAGGTCTCCATGGGAAAGGAGATCAACGCCTCCTCCGAGCCTCGCAACAGGAAGCTGCGGCTGGGCAAAGGAAGCTCTGGCGGTCAAAAAGCCAAGGCCTTGAACGTGGTGGAACCCGCGAGTATTCATCAAGCTCCTTGTGTCCGTTTAAAGGCAGGGGTTGGATGCAAAACATTCTAGCTCATCAAACTCCTCATGCGTTTGCCACACACCCGAAAGCATGTTTGTCTGCTGCTTCTCTCAGAAATAGTCAGGATGAAAGCCACTATCCTACTACTGCAAGAGAAGAGCTTTCTACTGAAGAAAAGCAGGACAGGCGAGACATGTCTTTGCAGTCATGCCTTTGTGGCAAGCCTACGAAGAGAAGTGCCCCCGCAGAAACGGAGGCAACCTCCCCCTGGCCCATATGAAGCAGATGTTCTCATCCCACAGACCTCCCAACAGCATGACAGTGTTTGATGTTGGGGCTGCGCTGGCGAGTCATCCAAAGTACAAGGGATACCATGGCTCATCTGCAGTGAGATATATACTGCAAAGTTCTAGAAAACTCTCCAAAGACTCGTTGCTGATAGCTTCCATGGTTGCTTAAAGTCTTTGTCCGGCCCGGCCTGCGGCCCAAACACAGCCTTTGCTCCGTCCAAAACTTTTGCCAGACCCTCCATCTCAAGTTTGAACCAACCCAAACCCATCCGGGCGGATTTGTTCTTTCCACCTCATGGCAACATGTCCAAGTTGGCCACATCCAGATGGCCCCCCTTTCCTGCCCCCACCCACCCCCGGGGTCCATCAGCTGGCCATGGGTGACCATCCATCAGCCCGTACCCCCAGTGAACATCCCACTAAAATAGACTAAAATGTCCTATATACTTCCCTTTTTGAGTGGTTCCCACATACCGTGGATGGACGAAATCCTGCACCACCTCAGAGACCCTGGAAGCATGATTGCCCTGTACATACCAACAAACAACGGTTTCCCATGGGTGGTGCACCATCGGTTTTGCCCCAGCTGAGCTCAGCTTCCGGCTGAAGCTCAGCTGCTCTGCCAGCTCCGTCAGCGCGAGGAGCTGCTTCTGCCCGTCCTGGGTCTAACGAACCCTCGTCGAGTCCTCCTACCGGACGTGTCGAGTCCTTCCGGCAAGCAGGTTGCTGGGGGTTGGTGGGAGGGGTTGGTGGATAAGGTTGGTGGGTCAACCTCCCACTCAAATGGCCAACCCTCCAGCGAAAAGGGACCCTCCAAGTTGGAGATAGGGCTGGTGGATCCGAATCCATGGAGTCAGTTTCTGAGAGCACCAAAAGTGCGCAGAATACGGCAACCTGTGATGGAATCCGCGCTCGGTCAGCCCGGAGGCTGGATGAAACCTTTCTGAAGAAAGCCTCGTACCCGAACTCGTGTAAAGAATGACAAAACCGCTATCTGTGCCTATCTTTGGCTGTCCTGAACCCTCCAAAACCCGGGTTTTGATTGTGGTTCAAAGCCCATCCTGGCACGTGCGACTATGTCAATCGCGACCGGGTGGACCCTCTTTTGGTGTCATTTTGGTGTCAAGTTGTTGGAATACTTGAAGGTTGCATTCTTACTATGCCGGGCTTGGCCAGCTCTCTGTGATTGGTCAGCGATGAAGCATCTTGTGCCTTCAGCCGCACAAGAGTTCCTGAACTGCCAAGACCCATGGAGCAACCCCCGCTTCCAACTACCGATCACGGCGCCTCGCTCTTCAAGTCCCGCAGCAGCGGGGAGAACTGGGACGAGGACGACCTGAGCAGCGGGTCTGCGGATCCGGTGGCTGGAATCCTCTTGCCACTTGAGTCAGTGGCGAACTGTGGCTAGGTTCTCCGGTTTGGGAAGCGAGGAAAAACCAACACCATCAAAACCGGGGGTTAAGAAAACGCCGCGTCGGATTTGCCGCCTCGCTGCTGGCTTCTTTGGTGCTGTAAAAATATGGACTGTGCAATTGTGAGTTGCGTCCCGGCTGACCATAGCTCATTTGAGAATAACTCCCTGCCCTGGTCCCTAACCCATGACCCGCTGGCATCAAAAGCCTGCTCGCATATTCGCAGGTTCGCTCATGCGATGCAATTGCAAACTCGGCGCGCTCAACCAAACAACTGGCTTTTGGGTGTCAAACCAACTGCCGGCCAAGCACAGTGAATCCTACAGTTGGACAACCCTTCAAGAATCCCCGCTCGCCATTCAAGGCCGCCACCGCGCAATCCGCAATGCTTCCATCAGAGCTGAACAAATGCAGGGAGCCTTCAACTCAGGCGATGTCATACTGCAACTTGCAGTATCCATTCGTGAATTCAAGCCTTGTAGACTTTGCTGGGCTTTGTGAGGCGCTACTTCTCGCCCCCTCTTCACTCAGCCGGCCATTGCAAAAAACAAAAACCGATGTCAGACTTCTTGCCATTGTGTGACATAACTCGACCCTCTGGCCCTCTGGGATCTAAACCACCCGGCATCGCCAATCAACCGCCTCCGGGCCAACGAGCCATCAATGAGGCGCCGCTGAGATCAAAGGTCCTTTGGGTGTGGGTCAAACACAGGTACCCGGAAGGGAACCCTGGTAACGGTAAATGGAAACCAGGCCTGAAAAACCTGCCGTCCCCTGGTGAAATGTCATTTTGCCCCCCAAAACAACCCGTAATAAAAATTTAAAAAAAAAAAAAAAAAAAAAAAAAAAAAAAAAAAAAAAAAAAAAAAAAAAAAAAAAAAAAAAAAAAAAAACGGATGGCCGAGGCCTTGGACCCCCTAAGCCGGGCAAGGCACGAGGAGGAGCCCAGGCCAAAGTGAAAGCCTGGCGGGGCGTTTTTCAGGCAGCCCTTCCCGTCTTCCCCGCGCCCCCAGTTTGCACAAAGAAAGCTCTACAGCAAGACTGCCAATGTCCAGACTTTTTCTCACATTTGCAGTCTACCCCAATCCCACCACATTTTGCAGCCTCCCCATCCACAAAAGAAAAACAAAACTCTGCCAAGCCATCCCCACCCCCTGCGCACCTGGCGAGGCCTCGCCCTCCATCTGGGCTCGCTTCATGAAGAAGCTGAAGGCGCCTTCGAGGCTGGAAGCCCACTGGCTTTGGCCCAGAAAACCGGAATTCCAAAATGGGTGGCCCGATCGGCCAGTGGAGACATGGGTACCAAGACCTGCCGTTGGCCCCTCCTGGCTTCAGTTTTGAGCCACGCCCAAATGGCGGGGTGGGCAAAGTTTCGGGACCTTTTGGTTGTTTGATTCTGGCCCACTTGTAGCACCCTCAAATTCTTGGAATAAGTGTGGAGACCGCAAAGGACCTCAGAAACCTAGATGGCCTCAAGCCTCGAGGTCTGCCAATGGCTTCAGGGACTGGAGTGCTCGTATGAGTCGCACGCGATGGGAGCCGCTGTACTTCAAGGGCCTTTCAGCGACGAAGATCGAGTGCCCTTAACATGGCCCAAAGAAGCGCCTGTGTCAAATCCCGGTGTCTCACAAAGCTTCACGAGGAACGCTTCCCTCAAAGCGAACAAAGCTCAGATTGCGCCAAGAACTCTCTCACCCTCCAGGCCAGCGCCCACTGCCAAACCGAGGGACGACTCAGAGTGTCCGCTCCTTGAAAAGACCTGGGTGTCTCATTTTTGGGTACAGTTCAGGTGGTTTTCCAGGGGAATCCGCTGGAAGACCGACGGGTCCAAGCTCTGGGCACCCCCGGCCCAGGTCGGAGCCACGGTGCCGCGACCTTGCAAAATCGGGCGGGTTCAATGCAACCTGGGTTTCCCTCAAACAGGGTCTTGGATGGCTGGAAGGGGTTCGAAGTTTTTGAGACACTCACCAAAGAAATAGAAATCCCAATGTGATCCATGAGCCTTGCGTGCGCAGGTCGTCAAGAGCAAAAAGCAGATGGGTCATAGGTTTGCCTTTAACTCAGCCTGCAAGCTTGGTCACTTCAGTTCGGGTCACCTACGACAGAAAAGCAAAACGAGCAATCAAAATCCCAACACCAGTACGAAGCTGAGCGTTGAGATGTTTATTTGTGTGGTGACGCTTGGTGATTCACGTGGCTCGTTCGCAACGAACATGTGGCGCAAGGCCTGTAAAATGTCGGCTATCACGCAGAATCCCCCAGCTACAGGAATCCCGCCATCTAGCACACGTTGGCTTGACATGTGCCACGTGTTTCTGTCTGCCTTCGGGCACAGGCCACGCTGGGCTTCCCAGCAACCCGCGGGCCATGCCTTGAGGTGTCTCGGCTTCCTGGCAGCGGAGAGGGAGACCTTTGTGCCCCATGCGGCCGTTGGGGAACGCTTCGTTTGGGTGGTCGTTCTTGGAGGATGGCTCGGCCGATGTGGAAACGGAGCGCTCTATAGGAGTCCCGAACTGGATATGCCGAATTGGAGGACACGCACACCTCCGAAAGTGAACGGGCCGGACATGTTTCGGCTTCCAGACTTTATTGTGCGCACCCAGTAGGCTTACATGTCAGACTTTGCAACCCGGTTCCGCCCAAAGCAACGAGAAAAGGAAGAACCCCTTACTTGGTCTTTCAATAGGCGCACTATGCGGTGGCAACCAGTATCTTGAGGGTCCCAATCTTCAGAACTCGAAGGTTCCGACAATCCCAGGGTGAACATAACCCCGCACTTTCAGGCGTCTCGACTCGGAGCCGCAGAGGGTGCCATTTTCGCACCGCATAGGCCCACAACCCAAGTTTCCCCAGGCCGCCTCGTGTCCGACCCTTCGGGTGCGGCACGCGCGACGCGCGACGCGCGCGGCGCGCGCGCGCGCCGGAACGCGAAGGCACCCACAGCGATCAAAGCGCACCAAAGGGAAGCCATCCACCTGCAGATCTCGGATGTTTCCATTCCGAGCCTTTCCTGCGCAGACGCTACTTGGATGACATCTTGATGTCCAAGGTATCTCTTCCTTTCTTGGCGATGTGACCCCTCAGCAGCTGGACAACCACTAAGGAGGCGCAGCCCCCCACCATGAAGCACAGGGAGGGCGAGATACCGTAGAGCACCCCCAGACCCAAGGGCGTGATCACCCGGCCCACGTTGTTGATCACTGAGTCCATGCCCAGCACCTGACGATGGCCAAGCACTGGTGCAAACCGAGGGGAAGAAGCCAATCGGTCAATGGCAGAGGAGCCTTATCCAACGGGGCAGCCAAAGCAACAAGACACCTCTACTTCTGTTTAAAAACCGCACCCTTTGGTGCCTCCACTGCGGCACGGAGGGGCGCCTCGCGTGACTGCCAGTTTGTTGGCGCACCTATCTGGTCTACTTGATCCTTACACATAGTGGCACATATTCAAGGTGAAGAACAGTCAAGAGAACATGTTGGCTCCTGATCATGAGACTTGCTTTGCACGGTTACTCGGTTCAAGAAACAAGCATGTGATTGCTCAACGTTGAAGTTCGGTCCAATACAAACAGGCGCTCACGCGAAAAGCATTCAACGGCCCCCAAAATACCAAATGCTCAAGGTCGGCAACCTCTGCACCTCCCCATCCCCCCCGGACCCCCCTCGCACCGCCAACCGCCACCTCCCCGCCCAGGGGCCTTGCCCCGGTTGCCCTTGGACACGCTCTTCGCCAGCAGCGTGGGCACCGTGGCCGGGAAGGTCGCGGACCCGAAGGCGTACAAGGCCGCCGCGAGCGGCAGCAGCTGCGGCCGCAGGCTCAGCGTCACCAGGCCTGCCAGCTGCCAGGTCTCACCGCGCCGGAGCAACCCATCACCCCCATTTTCGTCTTCCCCCCCCAAGTTGTGCATGGTGAAAAGGTTTGTTGGGTTTGAACATAGTGTTACACTGGCTACCCGAGGAGTCCCCACCGAAAAAAGATCAACCTCACGTCACTGTCCTGTGTGAGCGAATTCTTTCAAGACTAGACTTCCAGGGTTGGACCTGGTTTGAGGAGGTCTCCTGGAGATCGACCCGTCCAACACCGGAGCCGAGCCCACGGCCATCGGGTTTCCCAGGCGCTGCACTCGGCCAACCTGTATTTGGAAGCAGCTGGTGTGCCCTTGAGAGGAATTGTTGTAGCTCAGACAACTTTCCATGTTGCCGGCGCCCAGAGTCTGCTTCCAGCACGGAACTGATTCGCAAGAGGGGGGTTGACGTTAGGTGACCCGCACCCGACTGAATGTAGACACGTGGTTCAAGCGCAAGGTGGCAATAATTGGACATACCAGCCAAAAAAAAACTAAACCTCACTCGCAAAAAAAAAAAAAAAAAAAAAAAAAAAACTAAACCTCACTCACTCCCACTTCAGGTTCTTCCTCTTCCACCCAAAACTGACCACCACAAACCACGCACCCCGACTCTCGCTCGCCACTTGTCTTGCCTAGAAAGATGGCCGCGGCGCCCAGCGCGCCGGTCACCTCCAGGCCGAAGCGCTTCTCCAGCCTCTTATAGACCACCACCTGCATCACGACTCATCGCTCGCTTCCCTCAAACCCAACACCTGGTCTTTTGGAAACCCTAAAGCCTTACATGGTCGGTCATGGAAAACTCATTGGTCATGGCTCCCTCCAAGCCCAAGCAACACCTCGTCAGTTCGGCCATGGTTCGGTCCAAACTCATCTTCCATTTGGTCTTTCGACCCCTGGAAAAAATGAGAAACTATGTCCAGCTTTAAGACCAACAGGGGAAATATAAAGAATACTCTTAAGCAAATGGAAGTCATTGGTCATGGTTCCCTCCGAGCCGAAACACCTCGTCAGTTCCTGGTTCCCTCAAGCCCAATGAACCGCTGGTTGGCGTGTGGGAACCTGCCTTGTACCGCAAAGATGCCGAATCAAACCACTATGCAACAACGAGGAGGAGCCACAGAAATCAAGCCAAGAAGGAAAAGGGCGAGAAAGCATTGGTTGTATTTCCTGTTTCATTCCTTCCTCCTGCCCCACGGTGATCGGGTGCCCTGCCCACATGTTGCAAGAAATCCGGCGGCTGCCCCATGCTCGAAATCCAGGAACGCGTCACTAGGGAGCTCTCCAAAGGTTTTTGCACTTGTCCACTTCTCCACTCACAAGCAAGTTGGGTTGCGTGTCCACTGCCCGGCTGGCAGCCAGAGTCGCGCCTGGCAGAAGAACACTACGAGGCTGGTGCCGGTGAGGAAGGCTCCGATGGTCTGGGGCTGGGAACCGAAAAGGTCGTGCAGCAGCAAAGGCATGAAGAAGGAGAAGCAGGTCTGGCTCACCACGTAGAAGAAGGAGATGGCAAAGACCTGGCCATGTCACGCCATGTCACTGCAATTGTGTTGGTTCATGGGAACCGCTCGCACAATCTGGCCAGCTTCCAGACATGGTCTGGCTTCGGCGTGGATAACAGCTGCTGCGTAGTATCCAGAAAGGAGGGGATGATGACACAGTGAATCCAAAGCTCTGCGGGCGAAGGAGAACTGCCCCAGTTTGTATTTATTGCCAGCTGCTTTCAGACAAACAGCCCCATGGACCTCCGCCCCACATCGAGCGTGGTCCTAACACTCCAAATACTCACACCGCTAAACTGATTTCTTCAAACAGAATCTTTGTTTGCTCACAAATTCAACCATCAAAGGCAAGGTCATCTGTGCTTCAGTCGACGAGAATGTTGAATGGGAGGGAAAATAGCACTTCTCTACATCCAGATGCAAGGGTACTCAATCCTCTCCATGTGACTGGGAGCACATCGTCAAGTGATAAACCAACAAGAAGACAGCAAGCCAGGCATGGTAGCCGCAGAGTCTGTGGCAAGCTGTCACCACAAACCCTGCCAAGATCTGGCTGGTGCTGGCTGGGGCTTGGAACTGAATCCGCTGACATCGGATTTGGGATTTCATCTCATCAGCTCTTCCATCCTCTCTACCCCGCCTTGCGCGCGAGAGGCCAGTCCTCCTCCTGCGCATCTTCCTCCGGCGCCTTGCCCTGCACACCCGTAGCTTTGCTGAGACGCTTAGCACGAAGCATGACCAAACAGCATGCAAGCCTTTCCTGATGGGATGGTTTGTGTGTTAGCCGGTTAAAGGATCAACAAAACGCCAGCATGTTGCACATGTGGTTCCATCAGAGGGTCCATGAGACTTTACCTCCAATCACCGCTGCACAGCCTGCCCCCAAACACAACTCTCCAACTTTGTCTAACCTTAACTCCCTGAAGCACCTCGGCCTCCGACCAATAACCCCACACCGCGAGTTAGGGCGACGAAACCTCCCACCGGACCCCAGTCCGCCTCATCCACAGGCGGTATGCTCGGCGCTTCCTCCACGAAGCCCAGCAAAAGCAGCGCCCCCGCCAGGTGCGCCAAGATCGTGGCGAAGAAGGGGCCCTGCAGCCCACGGTCCTCCAAGGCGCCGCTTGCAGCTTCCGACCCAAGGCATGGGTTATTTGTTACTGGGCAATGGCTCTGGGTTCTTGATCCCTAGAGCCTGAAAGCCTTGGAAGCACAGAATTCCATTCAAACTGCGAAAGGGTTTGAAACAGAGTTTCGGGATGGATAAAACAGGCCCTAACCCACCAACAAGAAGAGACCACCTTATCCCCCCAGTCCCAAGGGCAAAGCGGTTGCCCTCGGCTGGCCAAACACGAACCAAAACAGGGTGCCAGTTGTAACAAGGTAAAGAAGCCCAGCAAGGGCAGAGACAACCGATAGCAAGCACAAAGCAGCAAACCAAGCAGGCAAACAATGCAGCGAAGCAAGCAAAGCAAACCAGTGCGCACCAACCCCAACCAATACCCCCGACCAACCTCCGCCAAGGACACCACCACAGGCGCACGGCAACAGCACAACGTGCTGATGAAGTGCACCACGTGCCGCGATGTTTTGGCGCCGAAATTGCGGGTGCGAGTCGACGGGTTGAAAAGCTTGAGCCGAATGTCGCATTGGACATCGGCATGAAATGACATACGCTATGATAAAAGTACATGCCCCCAAAAACACCCCCCTCGCCTGTACAAAGAGAGGAAGTGAATTTGGAAGGGCGCATTGGCCATGTTGAAGTTGAAAAGCAATGAACAAGAAAACCAAAGCCGATTAGGCTACCAGGGTTCGCGACCCCATACCCGGGCACTCTTTGGTGCCCGGATCCCGCCACCACCCCGAATTACGGGTATGGGGCGGATTCGCGCCGGTAGCCAAATCAAACGAGAGAAAGCAAAAAGAAACAGAAACAAAGATTCAACTCCAGAATGGCAGGCATGAAATAAAAATACATTTGCAATGCAACCACAACGAACCGTAAGGTTCAGGTGGATTTAGTTCCTGAATTCATTATTCAGG